TCACTACCGGTTCGAACCCCTCCCCCCCCCCCCCCCCTACTCCCGCCAGCAAACGACTCCCGGTCCCCACCACCGTCCGCATCACATCCCCCGCTGGTGTTCCCAGCGCCACTGTCCTCACCACCGCTGTCCCCGCTGGTTCCACCACCGCCCCTACTGTCCCCACCAGTGGCCCCACCACTGTCGCACTGTCCCCGCTGTCCCCAGAACTGTTCCCACCACGGTTCCACTCTCCCCACTGTCTCCACGGCCCCAACCACTGCCCGACTATCCCCACTGTCCCCACTGACTCCTCCGCTGTCCCACTGAGCTGTCCCACTGTTCCCACCACTGTCCCCACTGTCCCCACCACTGTCCCCACTGTACCTCTGTCCCATTGTCCCACCGCCGTCCTCGCCACCGCCTTCACCACTGTCCCCGCCACCATTGTACCCTCCACTGTCCCACTGTTTCCACCTCATTCCCATTGTCCCCACACCACTGTCCCCACCACCACCGTCACCACCACTGTCCACTGTCCCCCCCTGTTCCCACCATTGTCCCCACCACTGTCCCAACCACTACCGTCCCCACCACTGTCCCACTGTCCCACTGTCCCCACCACTGTCCCGCTATCCCCTCACCACTGTCCCCACCAACACTGTCCCCACCACTGTCCGCACCCCCACTCGGTTTTCGAGGGGGGGGGGGTTCGAACCGGTAGTGGCCCCCCCCGGTTTTCCAGAGGGGGGATGGGGGGGGTTCGAACCGGTAGTGACCCCCCCCTTTTCATGAGAGTCAAGGGGGGGGGGGGGGTTAGGGGTTTCGAACCGTAGTGACCCCCCCCGGTTTTCTGGAGGGGGGGGGGGGGGGGGGAGGGGTTCGAACCGGTAGTGACCCCCCCCGGTTTTCCGCCAGCAGCGGTAGAACACGCTCTTTCTAATAGAATGTTTAAAACGACTGTGCGCCGCGCTAAGGCGAGAGTCTTTTCCGCCAGCAGCGGTAGAACACGCTCTTTCTAATAGAATGTTTAAAACGACTGTGCGCCGCGCTAAGGCGAGAGTCACACATTTTGAAAAGGAACCGTCCTCAATCCGTGAAACCCTGGCAGATGTTTAAACTGAATGTGCGCAGCGCCAAGGCGCGAGTCACATTTTGAAACCACCCGCCCTCCATTTATCAAGCTGGTTGTGCTAATTTTTAAGCTTCAGGGAAATAACTGGTGAGGAAGTCTTAATCGAAACGGTGGTGCCGCCCTGAACACTGGCCTCGGGGTGCGACAGGGATAAGTTATCTATAAGAAACAGGAATGGAGGATGAGGAGGAGGAGACAGAGGAGGACGATGATGAGGATGAGGATGGTACTGAGGATGATGATGACGATGATGATGATGATGATGATGATGATGATGGTGATTGTGATGATGATGATGATGATGATGATGATGCTGATGATGATGATGCTGATGATGCTGATGATGATGATGCTGCTGATGATGATGATGATGATGCTGATGATGGTAATGGTGATGATGGTGATGTTGATGATGGTGATGTTGATGGTGATGATGATGATGAGGAGGAGGCGGATGAGGAAGAGGAGGAGGTGGAGGAGTTGGATGATGCGGAGGAGGAGGCAGATGAGGAGGAGGAGGAGGAAGAGGAAGGAGAGGAACAGGAACATGAGGAGGAGGGGAAGGAGGATGAGGAGGAGGAGGAGGAAGAACATGGGGGGGGGCAGGAGGAGGAGGAGGAAGAGGAGGAGGAGAAGGAGGAGGAGGAGCAGGAGGAGGAGGAGGAGGAGGAGGAGGGAGGATGCGGAGGCAGAGGAGGCGGCGGAGGAGGAGGAGGAGGTGGAGGAGGAACAATAAACAATAATATGAATCCTAGGATTGCTAATGATAACAATACGAAGAAGAACGCGAGGAGAGTTTTACTGCCAAGCATAGTAGGACTGGTTAGCATACTAAGGCGAAGCGTTTCACGAACAATAATAACAGTTATAATCAGAGGACGAGCAGTAATGAAACAATCTAAGTAATAATATATTGACTAATATTTCTACTACGAAGAATACGGATAGATCAGATTAATAATACTACGAATAATAATAACTATACGATCAAGAAAGAGAGACTTAACACTAATACTCATGAATACGAATGCGACGAATAATACGAACAAGACGAGTAATACTACCAGCAATAATAATACTAAACATCGTGGCACTGATACTTACACTAGTATTGCGAACAGTCATAACAGCACTACGAATCCTATTAATGCTACGAGTGCGAAGAACCATACCAACATTATAAACATAACAAGATGACGAACACTAATAATAACATCATTAAGCATCATAATACGAGTAATGCCACGAATCATAATAATAATAATACGAAGACGAATACTAACAATAATAATAGTATTAATCTTAACAACAAAAGACTGATGATGCTATGACTATGGATAATCATAATAATACGAAGAAGACGAATAATACGAATACGAGGAGGAGTAGTAGTAGGAGGAGGAGGAGGAGGAGGAGGAGGAGGTGGAGGAGGAGGAGGAGGAGGAGGTGGAGGAGGAGGAGGGAGGAGGGGGCGTAGGCAGAGACAGAGGAGGACGAGGAGGAGGAGGACGAGGAGGAGGAGGAGGCAGAGGATGATGATGATGATGAGGAGGAGGAGGAGGAGGTGGATGGACGTTAGCGGTCTCCCGAAGGCCACAGAAGAACGGGAAGCGGATGGCCGACGGTGCCCGGCGGATGCTGATGCCGCCGCTGCCCCCGAGTCTGTTCTTGCAGGCGCCCCCCCCGCCCGTCCCCGTGACCGACGGGGTACTATTGTGCCGACGACGCTGACGACGACGAGGAGGACGACGAAGAAGGAACGTCGGCGGCACAAACATAAACTTTCGAGGGCCCGCGCGGATTTCTGGGCTCTGCGCCGGGCACCCCTCCCGCCTGGCGCGCTCCCAGCACCATGAGGGAGGTCCGGTGCCGACCCAAGAAATCCGCGCGGACATTCGACGCAGATCATCTTCTGGGACGACGAGAGCGACGAGGACGAGGCTGAGGATCACGACGACGACGATGACGACGTCTACGATGAGGATGATGATGATGATGATGAGGATGAGGATGAGGATGAGGATGTTGATGACGATGACGATCACGATGACGACGACGAAGATGACGACGACAATGATGATAATGGTGATGAGGAGGAGGAGGAGGAGAAGGAGGAGGAGGGCGACATTGTGCCTGTCGATGTTGAGTTGGGCGTTTTCTTCCTCCGCCTCCTCATCGTCTCCCGACCCTCTTGTAGGTTGGGTCCTCGTTCTGATAAGAGCCGCCGTTGCTCACGTCACCTCTCCCGCTTCTGTCCTCCCTCCTCCGTTTCGCTTCGTTTCCGCCCGTGGGAGCCTCGTGGGCGCACCGTGCGTACATTGCACAGCTTACACCACATAGGTTAGCACTAGATAGCTCACACCTCGTGGCTCATACCACGTAGCGTACACCACACAGCTTGCACCGCATAGCTCATACCCCATATAGTACCAGATAGCTTACATCACATAGCTAACACCACCTACATCGCACTGCATGTATTGCACCACTCATATTTTACATACCACATAGCTTGCACCACATAGCTCACACCACATAAACTGCACCACGTAGGTTGCACCACATGGCTTGCACCCCATAGCCCATGCCACAAGCACTGCGCCACATAGCTCGCACTGCATAGCTGACACCCCAGACTTTGCACTACGTATATTGCGCCACATAGCTTAATCCTCACAGCTTAGAACACATATATCGCACTCCATTTATCAAAGTACATAGCTTACACATCCACAATGCAACATCTCACTGTTTGGGGTCCACGCTGGTAAACATGTTGTTGTTGCTGTGATTGTTGTGGTTGTTCTTGTTGTTGCTGTTGTTGTTGTGCTCTTGTTGTTGCTTTGGCTGTTGTTGTCGTGGTTGTCGTTGTTGCTGCTGCTGCGGTTGCTGTTGCTGTAGCTGTAGCTGGTGCTGCTGCTGCTGCTGCTCCTGTTGTTGCTGCTGCTGTTGCTGCTGCCGCTGCTGCTCCTGTTGTTGCTGTTGCTGCTGCTGCTGCTGTTCTTGTTGTTGCTGCTGCTATCGTTGTTGTTGCTGCTGTTGTCGTGGTTGTTGTTGTTGTTGAACATTATTTATTCTAAAGAATAATTATTGTTGGGCCCCCTGGTGCGCGCCCCCCCTGCGCCGCCTAGGCCGCAGCTACATTTTCATCATTTTCGTGAGGAAGCCTCAGAACAGAGGGTGTGTACAGGATCCGGTTGTTTTGTTGTAATCCGCTTTCCCTTGCAAAAAACAATATAAAATGACATTTCTTGTTCTAATATAATCAAATTTCAAGAATCCCTTGCAAAAAATAAGGTAAAGTGGACATTCGCGCGCGCAAGACGAAATCCTTCCAAAAGCTTAGTGTTCGGAGCGATTTTAACATAAAAACATCAAAAAACCAATGGTTTTTCAACAAAAATTGTCAAAATCTCATCCCGCGCGCTCTTGCGGATTCGTAGGAAACCCAACACTTTTTAAACATTTCTGTCAAACGGGCTTTTGCGAGCAACTTTTTCGAACTTCTGCGACAACGGTTGCGCACCTGCCAGGGCCATCATCCCTGTCAAATAATACCATGCGGGACACATTCGTTTTTTCTTCGCGCGCGCACGCCGAAATCTCCAAAAACCATTCTCTGTGGGTGTGTACTCCACGCCAGTGTAGTAGCCACGGTCGTCCGCAGGCCACGAAGTGAAGTGTCCGAACGTCATAGGGCGGGAAGCTGGGTGTGGGTGGTGGCGAAGAGTCGTGTGGATATTTGGTAGAGCTTGCACTGCCCCCCCACAAAGTGGGGGTATTGGCTGGCGTCGCATGAAAACCCTGGCACTGGTGAGAACACTGAGCGTTCGGGTAAAGTGATTGTTGTTGTTGTTGTTGTTTCTGTTGCTGTTGTTGCTGTTGCTGTTGCTGTTGCTGTTACTGTTGTGGTTGTGGCTGTGGTTGTCGTTGTTGTTATGGTTGTTTTCGTTGTTGCTGCTGCTGCTGTTGTTGTTGTTGTTGTTGTTGTTGTTGTTGTTGTTGTTGTTCTTGTTGTTTTTGTTGTTGTGGTTGTTGTTGTTGTTGTTGTTGCTGTTGTTGCTGTTGCTGTTGCTGTTGCTGTGCTGTTGCTGTTAGTGCTGTGGTTGTGGTTGTGGTAGTGGTTGTGGTGGTTGTGGTTGTTTTGTTGTTGTTTTGCTGCTGTTGTTGTTGTTGTTGTTGTTGTGTTGTTATTGTTGCTGTTGCTGTTGTTGTTGTTGTTTTTTTTTTTTTTTTTTTTTTGTTTTTGTTCGTTGTTGTTGTTGTTGCTATTCTTATTGTTGTTGCTGTTGTCCATTATAAAGGTGTGTTTGTTTTTCTGTGCTCGCCGTCTCAGGGTGCTGCTGGGCGCGAAGCCGTCGCTCTTTCCCGCGCGCCTGGAGTACTTTGCAGAGTGTCACTCCCGCGCGGGCTGGACCCGACGGGAGGGCCCAAACCACTCAGGGAGAGATGGAGATGACGCGCACCCTCTCCCATTATGTCGGGCCCGACGAAAGGGAGGGGATAGGGAAAGGGGCGGGGGGCTGCATGCAGCTGGTTTGGCCCCGCCGCCGAGCCCATTCTTCGATGCATGGGCGCCTCCCGGCGCCGGGAGGCGCCAGGAAGTCGGGCCACGTGAGCTGATTCTCCACCCTACCTTATTGCCTGCCTCGACATGCCCCTCGCCCCCTATGGGGCTCCTGCGCCGATGCCGCGGATCCCGACCCCCGAGGAGCAGCCACGGCAGCGGGCGCAGGAGCTGGAGAAGCCCCGCAGGGCGACCGGACGGTGTTTGGCCGGCCGTCGGCCAACCGAGCCCACCCCTGTCGGGCGGGGCCAGGACAGCCGTAACTCGCTCCAGAGAGTTCCGGAACGCTCTCGGAACGATCTGGGGCGCTGTGAGAAGGCCGTGGCGCCCAAGACTTCCTCCAGGCCCGCCGGGATGCAGAGATCCCCGATTCGACCTGCTCCGATCCTGTCCCTGTCCTGGCTGCTTCGCTTGCCCCGGCCTCGGGCAGGGTTGTGCCGGGCACGCGCGGCTGGCCGAGAGGGGGCGCGTTGGGGGGGGGGTGGGCCTGAGTAGACACGACCCGCGAGCCGTTCGTCTCGTTGCGCCGTGCCGCGGGCCGTGTCGGGGGGGGGGGGGAGGGGAGGTGGAGGAGGTGGAGGAGGAGGAGGAGGAGGAGGAGGGGAGGAGGAGGAGGGAGGAGGAGGAGGAGGAGGCACCCCACCCTTGCGGCGCACAGCGGCGGCCCGGGCACGGCGGGCCGAGGAGAGCCCTTGCCCGCAGCCAGCCTTGCCCAGGGCTGGCCTTGCGGCCTGGGCAGCCCAGGCTCGGCCGCCCCTCGGCCTGGCGGGCGCCCGCCCTCGGAGGCCGCCGAGAGCGGGCGGGCGGCGGCCGCCGCTGGTCGCCGTCGTGGCGGTCGCCGTCGTGGCGGTCGTCGTCGTGGCGGTGGTCGCCGTGGTGTGGTGGTGGTCGCCGTGGTGGCGTCGGCCTGGATAGCCTAGGGGGTTGGCCCAGGGGGCCCAGGATCACCCAGGCTCGGCCTTTTGGCCCGTGGCGGCGGCCGGCATGTGGATCCGGCAGGTTCTCGGTCCCGCCGGCGGCGCGCCGCGGGAGCGCTCCGTGGGCCCGCCCCCTCTGGGCGGGCGGCGGGGCACGCGTGCGTCCTGTTGGCGCGCAGCCGCTGCGCGCGGAGGACCAGCGAGGTGTCGGTGCGCCCTCCGCTGCGCGCGCCTATCAATATAGAGAGCTGCGCCGCCCCAGGCCGAAGGGCCCAGGGCTTGCCCCAGCGTGCGGGGCCAGTGTGCCCGCGCCGGCGGCCGGCAAGTGGCTCGGGCTGCCTCTCGGTCCCGCTGGTGGTGGCGCGCCGAGGGCCAGCGCGCCCCGAGCGACGCGTCGAAAGCCGCGCGCCCGCCCGTGGGATCTGTGCTCGGTCAGTGGCCGAGCGCCCGGTCGTCGCCAGCAAGGCCAGTCGGCCCGCGGCGATCTCTGGCGGCAGGGCGCGTGGGGCCGGCAGTGCTAAGCGAGGCCAGTCGGTCCGCGGGGTACCCGTTCGGCGAGGTCAGTGCGCCCGCGGAGGACGGCTAGCCCAGCCCCTGGTCAAGCGGCCTCGGGGCGGGCCGGCCTGCGTCTTCGAGTGCCCGAACACCTGAGAAGATGCTAGGCTTCGTGTTGTGCTCATGGCACCTGCCCCCTAGACTTTGCCACAGAACAGGTATACGCGATCGCCTCCCCTCCTCCTCTCTCACCTTTCTGCCGCCTGCACAGGTCCACAGCCGCCGCCACGGTGCCGCGCCGCGGGACCTCGCGGCGCGCGGTGGGTATGGGCCGCTGCCCGACCTCTCTGGGGGATGGGCTGGGCCCGTACCCATAGCCGCCCGAAGGCCAGCGGTCGGGGCTCCGCGGGTCGGGGGCGCGGATCTCTCCTGGACGGCGTGCGCGAGATAAGGTCAGGGGGGGCCGAGGATGCGCGCTCTGGTGGCCCCCCCCGCCGTGGCGCTCCCCGGCTGGCGTTTTACAGTGGGCCATCCTCGACCGTAAACCGTCGACTGCTCTGTTCGGCCTGGCCCGATCTTGTGCGCAGAAGAGCGCGGGTCCAACAGCACGGGGGCCGCGCAGACACCGCAATCTGTAGCATGATGTCGACGATGAATGGGGATAGCGGTGTCAGTGACGCTGCTGCTAGTGATGGTGATAACGGTTGCGGTGAGGATGAGGATGATGATGCCGATGCTTCTGGGTATAGATGGCGATGGTAGTGATGGTGATTCGTACTCTTCTCGGCCGTGTTAAGCGGTTCGTGGTGCTTTCAAATATTTTCGAGGACCAGAGCTAGTCTGCCAGCAAATGCATCAGATAATTAAGTGTTCATGCTTCCGGACCTTGGGGTGCTGGAGCTAGGAAGCAGTCGTGGCAAAACATGGCTCAACTAGATGCTGATCTGGAGCCGTTTTTATAACTGATCTTCACTTTCGAGAATGTTTTTTTCCTCGGCTAGGCTTTCCGTAGGGAGTCCCTGCTCCTGTGCAAGAGGCCCAGTGGCTTCGCTGGTTTCGTTAGGGGTGGTCCACAGGGGTTCATTGGGGTCCTTGGGTTCTGTGGAACACTGGAGTTATTTTGGTTCCTATGGCTCGTCTATACGATGGTTTAGCTAAGCTATGATTTGCCATAGATTTGTACGCTAATGCTCGTGCATGTTCCATGCTACCATTGGCTACTACCTCACCATGCCGATGCCATTTTATCCGCTGTTATGGTTATGTTTGTGCGCACGATTTGCTGTCCCACATGATGCTATACTTTGGCAGCCGCGTCGACTCGCCACCGTGCTGCTGGGGTTTGTGCGTAGAGGGAGGGGGGCTGGATGGGGGGACTGGGCAAGGCGTGGCCGATGTGGGGGAGTGGCTCAAAAGAATGGGCCTGTGACGATGTCGTCGGTTCTTCGTGTGCCCCGGGGAGGGCGAAGTGGAAGAGGATCGGGAGGAACAGCAGCATGTCGCGGAAGCGGCGGAGGAGAACGAGGAGGAGGAGGAGGGGTTGGAGGAAGACCAGGGTAAGCTCAAGACTCATCAACGATACTGCAATAAACCCTCCCTCCGAATTTCCTCCTCATAGTCCCCATAGAAGGACTCATTTTCACTGAGGGAAGTGTCCCGTTGGAAGACATACGTTGAACATCGGGAACTGTACCAGAGCAAGATTCCTGGGACGTCAATGCCGCGAATGACCATTACCGTTGCGTCATTCCGATCCTGAATCGTGTCAGAACGCCATACCCGGGACGTCAACGCCGCGAATCAACGTGGTTGTTGCGCCCTGGCATTCCGACGTCCTGCCAAACTATTATTCCTGGGACGGTAACCATGCGAATCCTTGAAGCTTGTACAACATCTTCAGACGAATGTGCGCGGCGCTAAGGCGATAACCACATGCTCGAAGCGGGCCGTCCTCCATCGGTGAATGTTTTGCAAACCTTTGGAACGAATGCGCGGCGCGCGGCGCCAAGGGGAGAACCAGATTTTGAAAGCGATTCGCCCTCCATCCGCGAAACTGCTGCAAATTTCAAGCTTCAGGATCATAAGTTGTGAGGAAGTATCAGGCTATCGCCCAACCCGCCCTTTCGACCATCCTCGGGGTGCGACAGGGAGGGCTTTTTTATCAGGAAAGTGATCGAGGAGGAGGAGGCGGAGGAGGAGGAGGAGGACGAGGAGCTGGAGGAGGAGCTGAAGGAGGAACTGGAGGAGGAGGATGAGGAGGAGGAGGAGGAGGAGGAGGAGAAGGAGCAGCAGGACGAGCAAGAAAAACAAGCGGAGAAAGAGAAGAGTAAAGAAGGGCGTGATGAGCATGATGAGCAGGAGGAGAAGGAGGAAGAGGAGGAGGAGGAGGAGGAGGAGGAGGAGGAGGAGGAGGAGGAGGAGGAGGAGGAGGATGTGGAGGACCGACGGATATCCTAGGCAGGGAGTAGTGCGGGAGGAGGGGCACTGTGCGGGGCGGCGCCGGGTCAGCGAGGAGAGGGCGCGCCAGGCTTGCAGCAAGGCCGTGACCGAAAACGCCGACCTGGCGCCTGGGACGCTGAAAGGGGGCCCCTCCAGGAGCGCGAGGGTTCCAGAGTTGAGTATCGTTTAACCGATCCCCATCCCCAGCGGCGTGGCCTGGGCACCACTGGCCGATTTGCCCCCCTAGATGGGGATATAGGTCGTCCCCTTCGGGTTTCGAGGGGTGTGTCCAACTGGGGGCGTAATTTGGTGGCGGTCTCGAAGGGGATGGGGATGGGGATGGGGATGGGGATTGGTTAAACGATACCGAAGAGGGGAGGCTGTATGAGGTCAACCTCGACTTTGACCTCATGGCTGCCCACCCTCTGGGAGCGCGAGGGCCCCAGAGGGGGGTCTCAACGAACGATGTCAAAGTCGATCTTCGGCTGGCTGCGGCCCCCGCGGGCAGGGCGAGGGCCCCGGAGGGGGGCCTTCACGAGGTCGACACCGATCTTGACCCCATCAAGACGTGGAGGAAAGGGAGGAGGAGGCGACGCGGTCAGCACCGTTGTCGTCCTGCTGCGCGCCCCGTTTTGTGGGTGGCTCGGACGGGCGACGCGGGCAACAGACCGCCTCAGCTGCGCCAGGAGGAGGCCAAATACCACAATGCCGACGATGCTGGGGCAGGGAGCTGGAGGAGGAGGAGAAAGAGGGGGAGGGGAAGGGGGAGGAGGGGGAGGGGGAGGAGAAGGCCGACCCGGCGCCTGGGGCGTTGAAAGGAGACTGCGACGTGTTCGCGCCGTGCCCATGCGGCGTCGACGCTTGTCTGGGAATTAAAGGTTGAATGCCGCTGGTGGCCCCGAACTGGACGTCCTGGGTGATGATGACAGTGGTGGTGATGATGACGACGACGATGATGGATGATGATGATGATGATGATGATGATGATGATGATGATGATGATGATGATGATGATGATGATGATGATGCTGATCATTGATGCTGATGATGATGGTAATCATGGTGGTGATGATGGTGATGATGATGGTGGTGGTGGCGCGGGTGATGGTGATTGTGGTGGTGATGATGCGGGTGCGCGTGATGGTGTGGATGATGATGGTGATGGTGGTGATGATGATGCCGATAGTGATGATGACGATGCTGCTGCTGCTGCTGATGATGATGGTGGTGATGATGATGATGGTGATGAGGGTGATGATGATGCTGGTGATGATGATGGCGGTCGCGACCATGGTATTCTGGTTTCTGCTGATGGTACGGATACGAAAATTCGTGTGCTGATAGTGATGTTACAGTTGGTGGCGATGGCGGGAATGATGCGGATGGTGATGGTGAGACTAATGTTAGTGTTGCTTGTGATGATGATGGCGATGATGATGCGGGCGGTGCTTATGGTCATAGTGGCTGTGGTGACGGTCGTGATGGAGAGGATGAACATGTGGATGCGGATGTTGCTGGCGCTGCTGCTTGTGAGGATTCGGGGTTAATGTCTTTATGACGAAAGTGGCTTTGGTGGCGGGCATGATAAGACATTGATACCGATGTCGCTCGTAGTCATGACAGTGATGATGACGATTATGATGTGGGGAAGGGAATGCGAAGATGGGTACGATTATGACGGGAGGAGGAATCGGAACATGATGACACATTGGAGCGTCATGACGATGATGGGGAGGTGGATGAGAAGGGTCAGACCATTCTGTATCGGAGGTTGGGGGGTGAGATCGCAGTGGAACGGAGACCCCCAACCGAGAAATCGTTTCGTTTCGTTCGTGTCGTGCGTGCGGGCGAGGGGCGCACTGGCCAGTTTCAGGCTGCCAGGAGGTGCCTCTTGGGAGTTCGGGAACGGGGTATCGACTTTGGCCTCGCTTCTTTTCGCCTCCTGCCTGACTTCAGTTTCGATGGCGACCTGGCAGGACCGCGGGTGCAGCCCTACCTCGATATCACAGGCCGACTGGCCAGTACTCTCAGGCAGCGGCAGAGGCAGGTCTTCAGTGGCCCAAGGGAAATCCCCCTCGGCGTCAAGGGGCCTAGCTTGGCTCGGGAGGTTTTCGTTGGAGGGCCTACTGGCAGGTTCGCCACTGGGCGAAACCAGAGGACTGCATTACCGTTGCCTGTGCCAACCGAACAACCGACCCGCCCTCCATCCTTGAAACTGCTGCAAACTCTTACGAATAATGTTCGCGCGCTAATGTGAGAACCACATTTTGAAACTGCCCGCTCTCCATCCGTGAAGCTGCTGCACATTTCAAGCTTCAGGATCATAAACGATGAGGCGAAACGCCCGGCCCGCCTACCGACACGTCTCGGGGTGCGACAGGAGGGAGTTTTCATAAGGAAAGCATTGGAGAGGCCCCGTGAGCTGTCTGAGCGTTCCTAGAGGTCCCTTGAGGTCCCCAGGGGCAGGACATGATAAGAACTCGGCCCTTCCTCTTCTTATTCCTCCCTTGGACGAGAGTGTGAATGTCTCTATTTATAGCTCAGACGCTGCCCGAGGAAGACGGACAACAACCACTCAGCGCCCAGATCAAATCGGAAGGCCGAGAGGAGGCATGGAGGAGGCGAAGAAGGAGAGAAGTGCGTCCTCCTCTTCTCCCCTCGGCCCCCCCCCTCTTCCCGCTCCTCCTGCCTGTCTTCTCGCTCCTCCCCTCCTGCCCCTCCTCGTCCTTCTTCCCCTCCTCGTCCTTCTTCCCCTCCTCCCCTCCCCGTCCTCGCTCCTCCCCTCCTCCCCCCTGCCCCCCCCCCCCTTCCCGCTCCTCCTGCCTGCTTCCTCGCTCCTCCCCGCCTGCCCCTCCGCGTCCTCCCTCCCCTCGCCGCCGACCCTCTGCCGCGGCGCCTCCTCCTCGCCTCCCGCCAGCAGGAGGGCACGCCGTGCACCACGCCGTGCCCGGCCAGGGTGAAGTCGGGCACGCCCCTCTGCAGGAAGGCTGTTCGAACATTAGTCAAAACATAGTCGGGGGGACGATGTCTGGAATATTTTTGGGCATTCTTGGGAGCATTCTTTGAGTATCTTGTAGTTTTCGTCCACAATCCGCGTGTAGGGGGACATGCCCTACCGAAGGCCAGGGCCCTCCCGGACCTCCGGCAGGGCGCACGGGCCCTCCCGGTCGGCCTCGGCGGGGAGGGCGTGCCCAGAGCTCCCCGCGCCGCGAGCCAAACACAGAGCACGACGGGAAGCTCTTCGGGCGACGAGACCTATGCCCAGACAGGCTCGCGTCGTGAAAAAGTCGGGACGGGAGGTTTTGGCCAGTTTTCGGCCCCAGTGGGCCCTCGCGGGGCCTCGGGAGCGTCAGAAAAATGCTCAGGATGAAATACAGGTCCCTGCAGAAAAGGGTCGGGACTTCAGCAGGGACCCCGTATTGAAAAATCAGGACGTCGCATCACGTCTGGGTGCATATCCACTGCTTCCTGTCCAGGCTGGTCCTGAACCCAGGAGCTGTGTATACGCCTTCCTGGCCAAGCCAGGAGGGCGTGGCGTATGCACCGCTGCTGGGTTCAGGATGGGCCTGGCCAGGGAGCAGTGGACATGTATAGATTTCGTCGCCCTAACTTGAAGTCGGGCCTGTCCCTCTGGAGGAGGAGTATCCAAAAATAGTGGGGCTATAGTCAATTTTTCGTCCAACATCCGCCTGTAGGGGGACAGGCCCGACCTAACCCTGACTCTGCTCGCAATCTTCGGGCCTTGGGGGCCCCGTGTCGGGCCCCAGGGCTGTCACGAGACGCCTCAGGATGGAAAGCCGGCCCCCGCGGAAGAAGGCGCGGTCGGGAGCCTTGAGACGGGGGTCAATGCAAACGGGGGTCAGCCAGGGCACCAGATCCTGCAGGATCCTGCGAAGACCCCCTCTGACTGACCCGGGTTAGCGAGCCGCTCGTGGCCGCGAGGCGGCCGCGCATATTGGCTGACCCGGGTTTGCGAAGACCTGCGTTGCAGTTTTTTTCTCCTGCATTGCAGTTTTTGGTTTCCTGCTGACCCGGGTCTGGATTGACCCAGGTCAGAAGATCCCCGACGGGGCCTCCTCGCCTCGGCCTGGAGGGCGTGTGCGCAGTGCCCGGCCCAGGATGGTGCTAGCCGGGCGCGGTGGTGTACGGCTGCCTCCTTCAGGGGCAACGAGAGGGGGGGGACAGGGAAAGTCGGAGGCTCCCAAACGGGGTGGTGACCACACCGTGCGGTGAGTCGGTGGGGATTCGGGGTCACCGCACGGTTTTGGGACTTGGGTCGTTCTCCGAGGATGTCTCGGGCGACTGGAGCCTCCAGGGTCCCAAAACCGTGTGGTGACGGACCGTGCGGTGAGGTCTTTGCGGATTTCGAGGTCACCGCCGGGTCTGTCACCACACGGTTTTGGGACACCCAAGAAAGGGGGGGGTACGAAATCTGCTGCAGGCCGCCGGTTTCGGCCCCGCCGCCGGGCCCATGCCTCGACACATGGGCGCCTCCGGCGCCGGGAGGCGCGGGGAAAATCAGCTACGTGAGCTGATTCTCCCCCCCCCTCTTCTGTCCCCCCCTTCCGCTCGGCCCGAGCCTCCTGCGTGTCCTCGGGAGGACCCACGGGCGGGGCCGATGGCGCGCAGCAGTCCCTGTCCGCTCTGGGCGGGGTTCGCCGTCGGTGTCGACTCGGATGCTGTCCCTTCGGGGCGAGCACGTTCCCCGGCGGCGCGCCCGGGGGGGGAAGTGGGCGGGGGGGCGGGCCTGCTCAGAAGGTTCGGAAGCCCTCCGGCCTCCTCTCGGAAGGCCTACGCCTGCTCGCTCTGCCCCCCCTCGCCCGCCGCCGGGTTCTGTCGGTCCTCGTCCCCGTTCTCCCCGTCTTTCGCTCCCAGATCATGGCAGCCTTGCCGCAAGGCCGTCTTCAGAATGCCCTGGCGTCGATCGAGCGTCGATTTAGCGTCGATTTCGCGTCGACTGGGCGTCGACTTGGCGTCGAGCAGCGTCGATAAAGCAAGGGCCAGCAGAATGGCATGGGAGCCTCCTAGGAGTTGCCGCCGAGCCGCCGGCCGGCCGTGCCGGGGGTCCTGGCCTTTCCGCTGCCCTCAGGTGCCCCCGTGCGGCCAGGGGGCCCTGTACCTGCGGCCGCTGCTGTTCGGGAGCCCCCCTCCCAGAGCGCGCCGCGCCGCGCGGGGCGAAGGGCAGTCCGAGGCGGCATGCGGCACCTTTGCGGAGCAGGTCGGGGAAGCGTAAGACTTGAGCATGGGGGAACGACGAATGACATAAGCATAAAGACTCGGAGGTCCGCGCGGATTTCTCGGATCGGCTCTGGACCTCCCTCCCTGGCGCGCGGAGCGCGCCAGGGGCGGCGCCGGAGGCGCCGCCAGGGGGGGTTCCAGCGTGGATCCGAGAAATCCGCGCGGACCTCCGAGTTTTTATGTTTGTGTCAGGGTACAAGGGAACTCGGGTTTGCCGACGTTCTTGACGAGCGCGTCCTGGGTTTTGAAGGTCCAGTCTTCGTGGGACGTTTGCAGCGGGAGCTCGCGTCAAACTTCAGATGGGGTCTCGTCGTTTCTTGTGGTGACCCCGTCAGGCCAGCCCGAGGTCCCCCGTGCCCGAGCCTTGCGTCTCCCCGAGCAGGCATCCGCTGCGGGGGCCGAGGATCGAGGCCTCGTGACCCGCTCGGTGCTTCTTGCCCTCAGTCAGTAATTAGGCTCCTCGTCGCCGCGGCCGGGTCCGCCTCGGGATTCTGGCCGGAAGAGCGCCTTTTGGACAGATCGCCTGGGGGCAGATCTGTTTTGCTCAGGTCGCCGCGAAGAAGAGGGGGGGTCCCGAGGGGGAGAGATCCTGCGTTTTGTCATTGTTTTCCGCCTCCTCTGGCCGACTGTTTTTTTCGGCGTCCCCGCGTACTTCTTGTCTGCGAAGTGGTAACTTGTGACGTGTTCTGCCACATCGTCTTGGCGATGCTATCGATGATGCGCTCAATGATGATTATGGCGATGATTTCGATGATACCTTTGACGGTGATAACGACATCGACGACAGTGACTATTATACCGATGACGACAATGATAGGATTCGAATTTCTCTCTCCCTCTCTCTGACTCTCTCTCTCTCTTTCGTTTGCTCATCCTTCTCTGTGTCGATTTATTGCCTCCCTTCCGTACCGTTCATAATGTAATCTTTTTTTTACATAGCTTAGTTGTTTGTTCTGCGTGATCAGTTTCTTCTGCGTGCTCCTCCTCTTCCCTTCGATATCACCGCCAAATGGGAGGCAGTAGCGGTTGCTCTCTCAGTGTTTTTGTTTGTTCTCTCTCCCTCTCTTTTTCTCGCGCCCGCATTCAGCGCGCGTGACATGGTTTTGGGAACTGGTGAGGACAGTGTTTTTTGTGGCTCTCTTGTTCTCTCTCTCTCTCTCTCTCTCTCCCTCTCTCCCTCTCTCTTCTCCCACTTGTCACGTGACGCCAAGTGGGCGTTTGGGGGGCAGTGGCGCCCCTCGCACTCTCCGCGCGCAGCGCAGAGGAAGAAATCGGACGGGGGGGGGGAGTTTTTTGTTTTGTTTTCGCTTGTTTTCCCCCCCCCTCTCTTTCTCCCCCTCTCTGTCTCTCGCTCTCTCTCTCTCTCGCTCTCCCTCTCTCTCTCTTACATCTTTCGCTTGGCGCGCGACGCAACATGGGCATTGTTTGTGGTGGTGGTGGTGGTGGGGGGGGGGGGGTCGGTTCTGTTTTTTGTTACTTCTTTCTTTCCTTATTTATCTTTCTCCCTCTCTCTCAGTTTATAATGCAGATATAATTTTCTTGTTCTTTCTGTTTCTCTGTCTGTTTCTCTTTCTGTCCCTCCTCTCTCTCTCTCTATCTTTTTACCCCTCTCCGTCATTATCTCTTTCTCTCTCTCTCTCTCTATCTCCCCGATTTTTGTTCCTCTCTTTCTGCTCTCTCAGTTTCTCGCGCTTTCTCTCTCTCTCTCTTCCCTTCTCCGCGCGCGCAGCGTGGATGGCGAACTGGGAAGGGTGAAGCGGTTTCTATCTTATGGGAGGGAGGGGTGATTTCTCTCTTGCAAAAGCAATCCTCCCATGCAGCCCCGCGAACGAATTTCATTCGTATTTTGCGCAACTTCCGTCGAGTTTTACATCGTCCGCTCATAGAATCCGAGTGTAAGGCCACATAAAAGGATTCTGCACGTCATGCGCGCAATAGAGATCATTGTATACATTGCCCACGAAAGGTTTTACAGTGTAAAGCCACGCAGGACACATTTATTCGAATGCCGCGCAGTGATCATCAAGTTGTAAATCGGTCACGCAAGGAAAGTAAGTGTAGAGCCAGACAGCATGATTATATGTGTAATCAGCGCAATAGGAATCAACTTGCAACTCGCGCATACCAGGGGATCTTGCTGTAAGGCTGCGCAATCAATATTGTATTTGTAATCCGCATAATAGGCATCAGTTTGAAATCGCCCACAAAAGGATTCCTCTAGAAAAAGGGCCGGGGGAAATTGTGATGAGGAAGACAAGCGTAACAGCAACGCAACAAAACCACCATCACATCCCCACAGTTTCTGCTCTGGCCCCCCCCCCGCCCCTCCCGCCCGAAACAGCAAACGAAACAATGGGGGGTTTCACTTTGTTGTAGTGGCCTCCGGCCAGTGCCGCCGATCTGGGGCGCTCCCGATGGTGCTTGGGTTCGCCTGGAGGCCCATGGGTCCGTCTTGGGCCCTCGTGGGGCCGTCGTAGGAGGAGGCCCACTGAGGGGTCTTTGAGCCTTTCGGGGGGCCAGTCGGACGCCGTCGGAAGCCGTCTTGGGTGTCTCGTCGTGCCGTCTGGGAGCACTCAGGGGGGGCTTCAGGGGTCCGTCTTGGAGGCTATCTGGGCCGTCTTGGGGGCCCATCGGGCCGTCTTGGGACCCTTTCGCGGCCGTCTTAGGAGCGTCTTGGGCCGTCATACGGCCATGTTGGTGGCCTCTAGGGCGATCTTTGGGGCGTCCTGGGGCCGTTGGAAGGTCGGAAAGAATAAAGCTGCCAAATTGTTCCAAAGCGTATCGAAAATTGATGATTTGAGCTTCTTCGGCTTTTTGGAGGGCATCCTGGGCCATCTTGGGTGCATCTTGAGCCATCTGGGGAGTATCTGGCGGCCGTCTTGGGCTCTCTGGCCCGCGGGGTGGGAAGTTGGCGAGTTTTAACGTATCCCCGCCCCGCCCAGAAAACGGAGCACAGTCCCTTCCCCGGCAGAGCCACCCCGGTCCCCCCCCAGCAGAGCTGAAGCTCAGGTTGTAGGCTGTCGGTCAACCTCTTTGAAACTCACATGCCAGATCGGCATTTTTTTTGCGTCCTCCCAAACTTCCTCCGGCTCCCTTTCAAAGGGGATTCTGCTGTGGCTGATTGACGACTTGATTCTTGTTGTGTGGATTACACATTTGGTTTTGCCAAATGTTTCCTCTTGTAGGCTATTTGCTGATTGATTTTAATAGTAAGCATTGCACGTTAAATTCTGTCGTTCGGCTTTTTCAACGCGTTTCTTTTTGTAAAGCATGTGCGCGCTATCTGATGCTTTATTATCTGAATGGTGTTACTTTCTTGTAGCGGATCCGTGAAATCGACATGCCAGAGCAATAAGCAACGCACCGCATAACGAAACAGCAAAGACAAGACATAATAAACAAAAGACGGGAACGTCGAGACCAATAGTCGTTCTTCCCGGGGGCCCTTACCAGAGTCTCAGGACCTCAGGAAACTATTTGGGTTGGAAAGCTGATGCGAGGGAAGACCCTGGGATCGGGGGGCCGTTTCCGTCTGGCCTAGAGGTGTGGTACGCTTCTAGGGCAACGGACAGGAAAGTTCAGTTGTCTACAATTGTTCTCATTGTCCACACTACAGACGGTGAGAGCGGAACGCCGCCATAACACGGCTTGTGGAGGGCTCCAGTGGAAGGAAGGGGGGAAGGCTGAGGGGGGACGAGGAGGAGGAGTTGGAGAGGGAAAAGCACACGGATGAGGGAGTAGGAGTAGGAGTAGGAGTAGGAGTAGGAGTAGAACGAGGATGAGGAGAGAAAGGATGCGGGAGATGAGGGAATGAGGACCCGCAGCAGGATGAGAAGGATAAGTAGGAGGAATCATGGGGAGAATAATGAATGGGAAAAACATAACTAAGAGATCGAGGGCTTGTGGTGGGCTTGGGGGGTCGGGGTGGTGGTGCACGGGCCATCGTGGGCAGCCGAGATCTTGCAGCGCAGCTGTTATTTTCATTCGGATCGGCCCGCTGTCGTCAGCTGCGTGGCCGAAGAGGCACGTGTCACGAGAGGAGGGAGGACAGGAAGGGAAGGACTTAAGACATGCTCCCTTGCCACCGTCCGATATACTATTGCTCTTTCCAGCATTTTCGGATCCCCCCTCACATCCTCCAGCGTGTGGGGTGATGGTTTTGAATCCGCAGCGCCACGCTCTACCTTCCTTGCGCGCCTCCTCTCCTTTCTCTTCCTCCTCCTCCTCCTCCTCCTCCTCCTCCTTCCTCTCCTCCGCCTCATCCCCTGTCTTCTGCTTCTCCTCCTCCTCGTCCTCCTCGGCCGACCTCTGCAACCCATGCCTCCCGCCCCCCTCGCCCTCCTCTCCTTGCCTCTGCTTTCCCGCGCGCCAGTGTCGGCACGCGCACACACACGCACGCACACGCACGCACACGCCTCGTGACCCTGCAGGGGGCTTCGCCTGCGGTCTCAGTGGGCGCAGCCGCATGGCGGCACCGCGCCGATTTTGGCGCGTCCCTCGCGGGGCGCCTCACTGCCGCCGACGCCCGTCGCCGCCGCCGCTGCCGGCGTCGTCGTCGTCATCGTCGTCGTCATCGTCGTCGATCGTCGTGCTCGTCGTGCTAGTCGTGCTCGTCGTGCTCGTCGTCGTCTTCGTCGTCGATCGTCCTTGTCGATCGTCGTCGTGGTCGTCGTCGTCGTCATCGTCGTCGTCACCGATCGACGTCGGTCTCCGTGGGCGCGGACGCCTTGCGGCACCGCGCCCCCTGTCGGCACACCCCTCGCCGGGACCTTGGCCGCGCGGGGGGGGGCTCCGCCTGCCGTCCCCCGTGGCGTGCAGACGCCTGGCAGCACCGCGCCAGCCAGGCGCGAGGGATGGGATCGTGGCCGCACAGGTCGGGCGAAGAGAGCTATGCACATGCACCGATCCTGGCAAGGCAGATCCTTGACCCAGGATCGGTGCATATGCCTTCCTGGCCAAGGTAGGAGGGCGTATGCACCGATCCTTGGCTCAGGATGGGCCTGGCCGGAATCGGTGTATGTGCATAGTTCTTTTTCCTCTAACAGGGAGCTCACAGTTGTCGTGGCCGCGCAGGAGGCTCCACCTGAGGTCGCAGTGAGCGCAGGCGCACGGCGGCACCGCGCCGATTTCGGCAAACCCCTCGCGAGGGTCGTGCCCTCCTAGGGAGCACCACCTGCGGTCTCCGTTTCGGTGGGCGCAGACGCGTGGTTGTACCGCGCCAGCTTCGGCT